TCAGGTCCTTCAGAGTTTCCTCGTTCCTTGCCTTGTGGTTCAGAGTGCACTTGTGACAGGCAAAGTGTGTTCTCTAACACTTACCTGTGATATCTGATGCAGCTATTTATTTTGTGAGATCATATAGTTTGAGGCTATTGTCCTGTTTAATTCCTAAAACTTAAATATAATATTTCTTTGGGGAAAACTGTATGTAGTGACTGCCATATACTCTTTCTTCTAAAGGGTGACATCTGCTGACCATAAATGTGTCAAGACAAGAAGTCGAGACCCAATGCTAGTCTATTTTACTAGTGGAACTACAGGCTTTCCAAAAATGGTGGTGCAGTCCCACAGCAGTTATGGAATTGGATTTGCAACCAGTTCCAGGTATTATTAAGTGATATGATCATGATTAACTTGAAAATGTGACCATAAAAACTCCAGTAAATGCAGGCATTTCATGTCTGTAGAATCTTGCTTCTTCCTCATCTTTCCCCTCTTACAGTAAAACCCTTGTTATTAAAAGCTTCTTGAAGACTCAGTTCAGATCATCATACACGGTGTTCTGTTGCTTAGAGGATGAATGCAGAGGAACAGTAAGGAGAGTGTCCTTATAGGAAAGCAAGTTAGCAAAGAGTCAAGTGATCTCGTATTGGGTCAACCTTCCTTGAGGACCAAAGCCACCTTAGGCCATAGCATTATCCCTTAAAAGTTACAGTTCAAATTGAATCTGTGGCTTGGTACTGATTCACTTTCATGAAGCATCTTCTATTTATGATTCCCAAGGAGTGGAATTGTTCATGAAAATCCAAGACATTGCAAGTTGAAAGTTGGTGATAGAAAGTCCATAGAAGTAACTTAGTTAGTTTCCAAGAGAAATTAGATGTGCCTTAGCTGATGTCTCTACTCCATGAGTTGGTGTTAGCTTACTCCAAATGATCCGTTTCGGCGTTGAGCTAGATCCAGATTCTGCCAAGGATGTTGTGCACTGTTCAGGAGAAAAGCAAATGCTGGAAATGTTAAACAGGAGGGAATGGAGGGAAATAAGAGAATGTTTAAGACCCTTCAACACTTACAAACTTTCTACAGAGCCTGACTTGTTGGCACTATGTCTCCTAATGGAAGCCTCCTGCCCTTTCCTTGAATTGCACAGTGAGCTGTGCCTGAGTCCCTCACACTCTATATAGCATGTTTTTCACCTCTGCTTTATCATCAGGCGTTGGATGAATTTGACTCCCTCAGATATAATGTGGAATACCTCTGATACTGGCTGGGCAAAATCAGCTTGGGGCAGTGTTTTTTCACCATGGATCTGTGGGTCATGTGTCTTTGTACACCATTTGCCACAGTTTCAACCAGCAGTTATTGCAGAGGTAAGTAATCCCCACATCCCAAGCATTCGAAAGTTGTCGGAATGCCTATTCCTCTTTCCAGCCATTTCATGTAACAGTCACCTGGACTATTCTCCTCAACATTGGCCACTTGTGTGAGGAGGAGACCCCGACTTTCCCAAGAATATTAGTGGAAAATCTTTAGCCTAGTTCACTATTGCCACGTCTGCTTGAGCCTGGGACACAGAAACCTTGGAAAGCACAAGCCAACCTTAATTGGAACTACAACACTCAGTGGTCCTTCTTTATATGTGTTACTTTTGTTGGACAGAATGTTCTCTGCTTTCTACAGCAGCCACTCCACAGTCAGGATTCATAGTCACTAATCCAGAGTCATTCTCTGTGTTGAAAATATGTTGCAGTTTTATGGTTTTCATTTTGCAGACATTTGAGTGCATAAGTCGTATTAATCACCTGCAGCTTTACATTACATGTTGTTTTCAACAAAATAAATCTCTGTTTTTCTAGACTCTCTCAAGATATCCCATCACTACCTTCTGCACTGCTCCCACTGCCTATCGCATGATGGTCCAACATGATCTGAGCAGGTACTGCACTTTGTCTGTTGCAGGGTTGGCAGAGAGGCTGAGATATAATGCTGTGACACCTCAGGCTCTTTAGTTCCTTAGGTCCCTTTGGGTTTTTCCAGTTAAAGGAGATCTAATTAGCAAAATTTGCTCTCAGAAAAGAAAGCTATGTTCTGAAATATGAGAATAACTAGTCACACTGTAGACCCCTCAGGCACCATGACTGGGTCTTTGAAGAGAAGCACAGAGGAAACAAAGTTAATTTTATAAGTTGTCACTTCCTCTGAACTTACGGTTCACACTAAAATTTTTGTCATGGTTTTGGTCAGCATTGGATCAGGGAATTACTAGGGTATAGTGGAGTTGTTCTCATGTACTTGAGAGTGAAGAAAGCAGTTAGAGGAATTCCACAGGCTGAGAGTTATTTGGCATCTGTTCCCACCAGTTTATTACTCTGTAAAATGCTCAGTTTGTGAGAATTGGTTTGTAAGGAATTTTCACATTTGTCGCAAGGAACTTATTCTTCTCACATAGGTCTTTCATCCTGAGAAAAGCCAACCCAGGTCTAGCAGAGAGCTCAGGCTTTGTGTTCCTATTCAACCTTACCTTCGGTTTTAGGTGTACTTACTCAAAAAGCCAAGAGAGGCTGTTCACTTAGGGCCACTCATCGCTATTCTCAGGAGTTAAGAAAATTGTTTCATTTGCTGTTCCTTTCAAGCTACAAGTTCATGAGTCTGAAGCACTGTGTAACTGGAGGGGAACCACTCAATCCTGAAGTGATGGTGAAGTGGAAAAAACAGACAGGGCTGGATATCCATGAAGCTTATGGCCAGACTGAAACAGTACGTTTGCATTAAATCTTGCAGTATACTCTTTCAAAGGTAACAGTACCAGAGGCACAGTGTCCTTGATAAACCAGTGTAAAAGGTGAGAATCTTTTATAAGAACTTGTTTTAAAAGAATACTTTGTCTAATTATGATTATATGGTTCCAAAATGAGCTATGTGCATTGTTTCACGGTTACAGGAAATGCCATGATTAAAGAGTTCAGCCCAGTGCAAAAAAACCTGACAGAGCATCTCAGATCAAATATGCTGTAGTAGGTCGATTTATCATCTTTACTTCAATGGCAAAACTAAAAAAAAAATTTGCTCTGGGTATCAATTTGGCCTGTCCAAGGTTTCCACGGAGAGTATTAAACCAGCTCACACCCCTGACTTCTCTGCAAGTGAACAGCAACAAATCTAGTAAGAGTCAGATTTCAGGCATTGTCTCCTCTTACCCTCAAAATGGTCCCAAATTAATTGTCCTGTTATTCAAATGAGATCTATAATAATTTCACATCTGCTGTATTACAAACTCAAGTGTTTTCAGAAGGACCCACTGGATCAGACTCTGAGCAAACATCTGATCTGAAATGCCTCTTAACCCCTTTTTCGAGATGTTCTTGAGAACCACAGAGCTTTGGTCCTGATTCAGGCCTTGCAATGACAATGTCATGAAGAAGTGTCTGCCTAATACAAACAATTAAAAAAAAAATCTGTATTATGCAGGTG